GAAGAAATCATATTATTATATTCATGTTTGTGTTATAAAATATATTTTCTTTACTATTGCGATTTTACTACGAAGGTTCCATTCGAATTTCGACTTAATTTTGTTATTATAATAATTAATAAAAAAAGACTGATATCTTATCGACCGGTTTGATGCCATACAAGATTTGGTTTTGGAATCGGGTTTTAATCAATTATATTACTTTTTGTTGCGTAAAAACTTTTGCTTATTTTGTTAAATTCAAATTAAAACTAGAATCTTTTTTTTGGTCTTAGTTTGGATTTAATCGAATAAATTGTCTGAATTAGTTTTTGATCAAACCTTTCATTATAAACTAGCGATAACTTTTTCTTTGTACATTATATTTTAAAATATATGAAATGTAAATGTGGAACAATACCTACTTTAAATATATTAATTCAAATATATATATATATATATATATATTTACATTTTTAAATTTTAAGGTTTGATAAATGTTTGACAACATGTTTAATACCTGTTTGACAACATGTTCAATTCATTTAAAAAATAAGAGGTGTTTAGAAACATATTCAAAAAATGATTTTAATACTTCTATTTTAATAGTATACATTAAACTGATATAAATCTGACTGAAACACTCTTAGATTTTAAATGTAACGATGAGATGAAACAAAAACACTTAACAAAATCAAGGTATATATGTTCAGTCACGAATAAAATGAAAACGTCTATGAAGAAGTCATGGGGATATGCTAACTAGATAGACTCCAACAAGATGATTAATGTTTAATTGCCAAGCTGTTTTTACAGCTACTTTTTTTTTTTTGTCAAGCTGTATATTTTTATCTAATTAAGCATGATCATTTCAATCGATTAGAAACAATTCGACCTTACTATAAAACTCCGACTGAAATCTCAAGCTATGTAGTCTATGTTGATGTAGAAGACTTTCTTTTAATATATCAAATGTTCTGATATCGTATAAGATGATATCTTATATATCAAATATGGTCAAAAACATAAAACTTTATAAGAAAAAAGCACTCGTAACAAAGACACAAAAAGTTTATTAAGTGATTTTGTAAAAAAAAATCATCATCACGCACAGCATAGTGATGGTGGGGGTGTGAAAAAGCTATATTCATGAGTTAATTGGTCCTTTCCTAAATTTCACAAATTGTCAAATGACGTTTTAATAAATATTGATAAAGTCGTCAAGGAAAGCATGTATAAAAATGGCTTTAAACCTATGAATCTTTGGCCAAAAAAAAAAAAACTATGAATCTAATATGTCTCTCACAAATTACTTACTTCTCTTGCCTGCACATGATCCCTATACTTCTGTCAGTCTCTGTTCTCTGTTCATTTCGACAGTTTCTGATAATATATAAGTCAAATTATTAAATATCTCTGATTTAAATATTCACATTCAATAAGTTATCTACCAAAGTATTAATTACAGACTTTGGGGCTGCTAATTTTTTTATTAAATTGTCAAGTACAATCATAAGGTGTTATGTTGGTTTTGAACGCTTTCAAAATTCGAATTTGAATTTTAGTTTTTTTTTTTTTAAGTCATACTGGTAAAACCAGGCTATGAAACGGTGTCATCCGGTTGAATAATCGGCTTAATAAACCTTTTCTATATATTTTATAAAGTATAAGCAGTGTTAATAATCTTAAATCAATGTGGTCTAAAATAAACTTAGAATTATGTTATATCGATACGTTAAGAAAACATTTATTAAACATTTCAATCTACGGCAACTGCCACTGAATATCCTCACAATCAATCGATTATGGTGTCAAACTTGGATTCCAGGAAATTTGTGGCATTAAAATTTCGACGAACATATTTTTTAGGAATGGATTATTAATTTTGAAGAGTTTTGCAACTTGTGTTTTTGTATAAAAATCAAGAAATGACATAAATAAAATAGGGTTCTTGTAATAAAGAAATGACATAAACAAAACAGTCTTTAACATAAAAAAAAAAGACATAAACAAAACAGGCTTCTTGTAATAAAGAAATGACATAAATAAAATAGGGTTGTTAGAAGAAATTGTCTAGATAAACATTACCAAACCCAAAAATACTTTCAATTCAATACCCAAAAATCCTTCGTGGCACGCCATTGACTACTGACTAGGGAATCCTAAAACAATCTAAAGTGTCATTTGGTCCTAATTGCTATATAGTAGTTACATGGTACTAATTCTTTAAATAAAATACAAAACATACATATGTTTATAATTAATAACATTCCATCCATTTCATTATAGTTTATAAATATTACTGTATCATTTTCACATAGATTAAAACTAATATGTAATTGTATTACATACTTTATTCATATATTTATCTATCTAATTATTGAACCTGAAATCATATAGCTAAATTGAAATTTAGTTAAAAACGATTTTTCTTGTAAACAAAAATAAACTATAAAAGACATTTGTAATCAAACAGAAAATACTTCTTTTTTTAATAACATGTATAATGTAGTGTTAAATAATAATTAGTTATATTATCATGTTATCAAATTTCCAACATTAATTTTTCTTTGATGTCACCCTACACTTACCACCGACGACTAAACCTATTACCAGATATTGATAATAGATATGGAATTATTGATAAAAAAAAATGTGTCTTATATACTATTTTATTTTTACGTGAACAGTAATTGAGTGCAGAGGATTTAAAAACTTCATCATAAAAATGTTACTCAATAATATTATTTTGGTCTAGACTAAGTTATGGGAATCCTTGGTGTAGCACCTTTTTTTAATAATCTTTTTGGAGAAAAAAATTTCGCCATGTGCTTTCTTGCTAATTCTTTGAAAGTTCTAACCACCCTTGAACTTTGATAAGTTATAATTCTAGGAGTATCATACTTTCGCAGATAAAAATAAATCAATAATGTAATTGTTTTAAAAATCATATATATGTGTTTATATACAATACAAACATCGCTCGAGCTAACTACATGACCTCTAACTAATTGACCAGCCCATAGCCGTTTTGTCTAAAGGATTTTTGTGAGGAAAAATATTATATGATAATTGATGGGCAGCTCAAAATCTGAGAATGTTTGGAAAATACAATTTTAAAATATATCCAATAGGTGGGATCAACAAATGAAGCACAATTTTTATGCATCTTCTTTGGGAAACATAAATTATTATACCTTTTTTTTTCACGACATAGATTATTGTTTCTTTGCACGATTAAATATTTTCAACCTACATTTATGATTGCAGTTTCGTAATAATTCCTGCCTTTTATGTTCAACTCTAATTCTGTCTTTTCTTGTCTTGTATATAGAATTCTGTGGTTTTGTGTTACAGCAGGATTTCCAAAACAATTTACACTTAGTTTCGAATTGCCAACTGCAATTAACTTTTGATACTTTTTTTTTCTTTCCTCATGTGGTAGTTCTTTTCCTTCACATTTAATGTGGTAGTTCTTCTTCTTCACATCTAATGTGGTGGTAGTTCGTGTAGTAAGATGTCATCATGTTCCATAGTGCAATTAAATTAGTTGTAATTTTATGTAAGAAAGTTTAAATTATTTTGTTTGTTATTACCTTCTTTTTTTTTCCCTCGTTTGTTATTATCTATTGTACCATTTTTAGCGTTCATATTAGTTCTTTTTTGAAAGACTATAGATCTCCAATCGTACGAGAAGGGAAAAAAGCTGCAATGGCACTAAGTTTAATCCCACATGCTATATTTCTCATAATTGAGATTTCACATGCTATCTATACTTACCTGTCCTTATGTTCACATAATGGGAAATTATACATATATTATAGACTACTAAAAATAAATAAGAACTGGGGAATTTTGAAAAGGAAAAAAATTAAGAGGACAAGAAAACAGACGTGGCGTATACGATGTAGAGAATTTTGTAAAAATAATTGAAACGAAATACAGATATGAATGTTTGGAGTAGAATAAATAGTAATAGTATAGTCTCAGTGCTATGTGGTATGTGATGTGGAGATAGTATGATTTATATTTGTTACGATCAATTATGCTATATAACACGCACGACTAAAAATTTTAAACGGATGTTAACACAATTATTACAGTCGAGAAGTGTGGAGCGAGTCGACGCGGTATTTTACACCGAGCCACTACACGCGACCTCGCAAATGTTATTAAATCACATTTTTGTATGTCACAAATCAAAGTCGTTGTTGTTACTTTGGTCTATTGTACAGTTTAATTTAATTGAACTTGGAATTATAACTCGGTTTCATCTTCCAAAACAGCTGTCTTCCTATTGATCGCGAATGTTTCTTATGTCAGCCAACTTAGGACATTTGACTTTAACTTATAATCACCCTTTTTCTATACTTTTTTGCTTGTTAAGGTTTTAATCCCATTTCTATATTGTATACTGTAGTTTTTCAGAAGCATTAAAATTCTTTTCTTACTATATATTTTGTAGTTTCCATTTGTATGCATTTGAAAAGATTAGGAACAATCTGGCACCACATTGTAATTTGCATGATCGGAAAATTTGTGGTCCTCTTCCCATTGATTTCACGCACCAGCAAGTTCAATCTATTTTCCGGATAATAATTTATTTTTGAAATATTTTACAGTTTTCTGCTGACTGTATACGATTTACATCATTTTAACATTTACGGAATGTCGGTAGAAAAATTATATGATCGAAAATGATTATGGTAGATGTCATTGTGATTAACATAGCTTAACAAGCATCCAATAGTAGCATTTATTTTAGAATGTCTGATATAAAATTTGGTTATTATTTCAATCGGGTGGTTGAAGATTAGTTTTCTAAGACTGTGGAAATTTCCTGATCTTTTGTTTTTTTTTAATTGTAAAACTAACAAAACCAATAATTGCCAGCTAATAGCGAAATTAAAATAACAAATCAATAGGGAAAAAAAAAAACGTAGATATTGAATCGGTCCCTTCTGAACAAAGGCCACCTCAAACGACTACTTTTTTCCACTATAAAAACAACTCTTTTCCATGCAGAAACACAATCAATCACTTCTTCCTCATCTTCTTCGAACATCAAACATTTTCTTATAAGCCGGTGAAAATTATCCGGTGAAACAATGGCGACTCCGGCATGGAGTCATGCCAGGGGTCAATGGGTAGTAGCCATTTTGGCGTTACTTGTTGGCTCGGCTATGGCTACCGAACCTTACTATTATAGCTCTCCTCCTCCACCGTATGAGTATAAATCTCCACCGCCTCCCGTTGAATCTCCTCCACCTCCTTATGAATACAAATCTCCTCCCCCTCCGGTTAAGTCTCCACCACCACCGTATTACTATCATTCACCGCCGCCGCCGGTGAAATCCCCTCCCCCTCCTTATGTTTACCACTCTCCTCCTCCTCCGGTGAAGTCTCCTCCACCTCCTTATGTATACCACTCTCCTCCTCCTCCGGTAAAGTCTCCTCCACCGCCATATTACTACCACTCTCCTCCTCCTCCGGTGAAGTCTCCTCCACCACCATATTATTATCACTCTCCACCACCACCAGTGAAATCTCCTCCTCCTCCTTACTATTATCATTCTCCACCTCCTCCGGTCAAGTCTCCACCACCGCCATATTACTACCACTCTCCACCTCCTCCGGTAAAGTCTCCACCACCACCTTACTACTACCATTCTCCACCTCCTCCGGTAAAGG